TCCCCCTTTTTTTTTTTTTTTTTTTTTTGCGGTACGCGGGCCTCTCCCTGTTGTGGCCTCTCCTGTTGCGGAGCACAGGCTCCGGATGCGTAGGCCCAGCGGCCATGGCTCATGGGCCCAGCCACTCCGCAGCATGTGGGATCTTCCCGGACCGGGGCACGAACCCGTGTCCCCTGCATCGGCAGGTGGACTCTCAACCACTGCACCACCAGGGGAGCCCAGGACTACCTTTTTGATGGGCAATGTGGGGACCGCCAAGGAGCATGATATCATTGGAAGAGAGAAGCCCTGTGGCTTCATGGAAGCTACTGACGCAGCTGCTGGGTAATCCAGATCACTACCCGCCTCACTCAACCCAACCTGACTTTGGCCGTATATAAATGATGGTGGACTTATGGCTACATGCCAACACCTGGGGAACTGGCTGAATTCTTCCATTTTAGTCCGAATGTTTGACTTCAGTGGAGTCACAGCCTTTGAGACACCCAGACAAGAGAAGGGAAACGTGGGTACTGACTATGTAGACAGTAGGAACTACTTGGACCCAGGCCACTTCCCCTGATGCCACCGCCCGTCCCTCCCCACACCCCCAGTGGGAGGTGGAGGACGAGGCAGCCTCACTGAGGGTTTCATCCTCCCACAGCAGTGAGCAGTTCCTGGGGCGGCCTGGTGTGCGGGCCCGAGCCTCTGGTCACCACCTGCAGCCTCTCCCGCGGCGGGGTCACCATCTCGGGCCGCAGCAGCACCCGGTCCAGCGGCTTCTGCAGCTGGAACGTGGGCGGGGCCCAGGTAGTGGGCGGCGGGGACCCGCCGAGCGCGGGCTTCCAGGGAGGGGAGCTCCGTGCTGGTGGGCGAGACCTGCGCCCTCAGCGTCCCCTGCCCGCTGCCCACCGAGGGCGGCTTCAGCAGCCGCGGTTCCAGCGTCCACTTCGTGTCCACAACCACCTCGAACCGAGCGCCGGCCAGCCACCGACCAGGAAGAACCATCTCCACGGCTTCTGCTTCTGTCCCCAAAGTGCCCGGACTCTGGGCCGAGGGCGCTCTAGGTACCCATCCTGCCAAGAAGCCAAGGGCTGCTCTGCCTGGCCTGTGTCCTCTGGGGGGATTTTTTTCACCACCTAGACGCTCCATCCACAGCCCCAGCGGACTGGCCTCTCCCTGACTCCCAATTTCCTTCCTTTGGGTCACTCCTCACCACCCAGCCCAAAGACCTCAAGAAATGCAGATTCAATACAATTACAAAAATCAGCATGTTGGTCCTAGCTTTGGACTAACTTAGAGAATGGAGAGCTGGCTGTCCACACAGCAGGTGTCCTCAGCCACCGTCCTCTGCTTCCCTCCCCTTCCTTCCCCTGGCAGGAGAAGGTCCTTTCCTTCTCTTCCTGACCCAGAAGGATCCACCGTTTTGGGTGGGGGCCAAGGGACCCCTGAGTCCCCAGAGATGGTTCTTCTCTGAACGGCATAGGTCCTAGGTGCTTCTCTTCCTGGGGTGTTGGTGTAACCCTGGCATGCGAGTCCACGAGGTGTGTGGGTGCTGGTAGAGAGATGGACCCTGCAACACTCCACGCCCCTGCCGGTGGTGTGAGGCAGGCCCAGCTCTGTTCACGGCAGGGGGGCTTATGTCTGCACGCTCCGGGGAGGCCTGGGCTGGGGTGGGTGCCTGTCTGTACTGCTCTTTGTGTTGCTGGGATTTCAATAAACCTGCCAAGCTATCATCACTAAGACCTGCCAAGCTAGCATCACTAGGACCTGCCAAGCTAGCATCACTAGGACCTGCCAAGCTAGCATCACTAGGACTCTGGCCTTTCCTTCCCAATCGCACTGGGGATGGGGGAGCTTGCCTCCTAGACTCCACTAGCCCACCCCCCTGGGGACTTGCCAAGGGCAGAGGCTGGTGTCCTGGGACAGAGGAGGTACTGAGGAAAGAGCGCTCAGGCCCCTCCCTGGAGGGGCTCACAGCTCAGCAAGGGAGATGAGACATATAGCAAAAGCTCTGAAAACAAATGCCAGGCAGCCCACTTCTCTCCACGCGTTGCCCTCCAGCCTCCTCCCTACCAGGGCGAAATCCTTCACTTGTTCCCCAGGTCCCACCCCACCCCCGGTTCCTCTGGGATCATTGCAGGGGCCAAGAGACCCAACCATGTGTTTAGCGGGTTGGAACTTTCAGTCCACCCTCCCCAACCTCCAGGGAGGGAAGCAGGGTTGGAGGTTGAATCAGTCAGTCAATCCTGACTATGTAATGAAGCCTCCATAAAAACCCCATAAGGACTGAGGGATTCAGAGAGTTTCAGCGTTGGTGAACACGTGGAGATGTGGGAGGAGTGACACACGTGGAAAGAACGTGGACACTCTGCACCCTTCCCCCATACCTTGCCCTATACGTCTCTTCCATCTGGCTGTTCCTGAGTTATATCTTTTTATAATAAACTGGTAATCTAGTAAGTAAAATGTTTCCCTGAGTTCTGTGAGCCACTCTAGCAAATTAATCAAAGCCAAGGAGAAGTCTTTGAAACTTTCAATCTATAGCCGGTTGGTCAAAAGTCCAGGTGACAGCCTGGGTTTGCAACTGGCAACTAAAGCAGGGTTGGGGGTGGGCAGTCTTGTAAGACTGAACCCTTGACCTGTGGAATCTGATGCTATCTCCGGGTAGATAGTGTCAGAATTGAGTTGAACTGTGGGACACCAGCTGCTTATTGGTACAAGAAACCCCATGCACACACCCACACGCACACAAACACATCGGAACTGTGACCAGAACTCTTAACGTGTGTCTTGTGCAACCACAGAGGACCCCACACCATAGAAAGTCCCCACACATAGTTTAATGACTCTTGTCATCATCTTGAAATCCTTAATAATTTTTAAGAAGGGGCTCTGCATTTTTATTTTACATTAAGCCCCACAAACTGCGTAGCCAGTCCTACCCGAATAGCTGTATTTCTACTAAAAGAATGGAACATGTACTTTAAAATCTTCCAACAAAGAAAACTTCGGGCCCAAATACCTTCCCTGGTGCATTCTACCAAATATTTAAGGAAAAATTCAACCCAGATTCTCCCAGAAAACATAAGAGGAGGGAAAACTTCCCAACTCCTTTTATGAGACCAGCATTACCCTGATACCAAAACCAAGCAAAGAAATAATAAGAAAAGAAAAACTACAAATCAATATCTGTCATGAACCTAAATATAAAAATCTTCAACAAAATATTAGTAAATTGAATGCAGCAACAAATAAAAGATAACACATCATCACAATGAGTTTATCCTAAGAATGCAAGGCTGGTTCAACTTTCAGAAACCTATTAATGTAATTCATAACACCAACAGACTGAAAAGGAAAAGTCATATGATTATCTTAATAGATACACTAAAGGATTTGACAAAATTCAACCTCCAGTCATGATAAAAACTCTCAGCCAACTAGGAATAGATGAGAACTTCCTTGACTTAAATGGCATCTAATAAATAAATAAATAAATAACAAAGTAACATCCTACATCTAACAACATACTTAATGGTGAAAGTCTGAATGATTTCTGCTGTAAGACTGGGAAAAGATAATGGTATCTGTTCACACCACCCTTAGTCAGTATTACACAAGCTGGCCTAGCCAGTGAACTAAGGCAAGAAGAAGAAATAAAAGTCATATGGCTTGGAAAGGAAGAAATAAAACTCTTTCTATTTTCAGAAGACATGATTTTCTATTTAGAAAACCCCAAGGAATCTTTTTTCTAAAGCCTACTAGAACTAATAAGTGAATTTAGTAAGATTATGGGACATGAGTTCAATATATAAAAACTAATTGTATTTCTATAAAAGCAAAGAACAGTTGGAAATTAAAACATTTTAAAGTATTTTTAACATTTACAATAGCATCCAAAAAGTGAAATACCTAAATATCAGCCTTTAAAAAAGATCTGTATGCTAAAAACTATAAAACAATAATGAAAGAAATCAAAGAGGACCTAAATAAATGGAGATACATACTATGTTCATGAATTGGAAGACTCAATATTGCTAAGACATTGATTCTCCCCCAAAGATGACATAAGGTTCAAACCTGTGGACTCACAGACCCCGGTTCAAATCCCAGGCTCTCTGCTTAAAATAGCTGTGTGACCAAAAGTAATAATAGGCAAGAATAATACTTATAGATTGAACTGAGAAGAGTTTCAAGTGTGTTTTGTGTTTTAACTTGACTTTTTCAACAATCTTAGGCAGTAGGCACTTTAATAATTTCCCTTTTGACAGATGACAAAATCAAGGCCCAGGGATCAAAGCACAGGCATTCTGACTCCAAAACTCACACTCATCACCACCATGCTGTTCTGTCTGTCACAATCTCGCTAAGCCTCTTGCCTCATCTGTAAAATGGAAAAGAGCTCCTATTTCAAAGATTATTAGCACATAGCCTGGCACACAGTGATGCACAATAAACGGTTGCTACTGTTTTGATGGTGATGGTGGTGGTGGTTCTAGTTTTACTGCTAATGGAGAAGAGCTGTGTTCAGCAGCTCAGCCGCTCCAGGACCAAACAAGGGTGGATACCGAAGTGTCAGCGGACTGTTTCCAGCGTCTGCACCGAAGCCCCAGCCCTCATCTGCAGGCAAGCGGCTCCCTAGCCTTTCCAGCTCCGGCAACCAGGACTGAGCCACTGCGGGGCTGCCTGTGGGGCTTTGCTGCCCTCTGCTGGCCCCCAACTTCCCTGGAGACACCGCACCAGGGCATTTTCGAAGCACTCCCGCAATAGGATTTTGTGGAGGGAGAGGGGAGTTTTTTGTTTTGTTTTTTTTCTTTTGTTTCTTTAAATCAATTTCCCTAAGTTTTTTTTTAATTGACGTATAGTTGATTTACAATATCGTGTTAGTTTCAGGTGTACAGCAGAGACTCATTTCTATATACATATACAAATATATATATAAATATTCCTTTTCAGATTCTTTTCCCTTATAGCTTATTACAAACTATTGAGTACAGTTGCCTGTGCTATGAGCGGGGAGTCTTTTAAAAACAAATTGTTTTCTCCAAAACTGTGTTTAGGACACAAACATTGCAACACTGAATAGCAACTTTAAGAAATCCACCCCCTCACTCACCAGCCCAGCACAGCACTCTTTTCACCATCCTGTGTCTCTGTCAGCCTGTGTTCCCACAGATGTTCAGAAAACCACAGGCTTGAGTCAGGAAAGAGCCATGGAGGGCTCTGAGCCCCATGGTTCTCAAACTAAGTGTGCTCCTCAGGACTCAAGGGCCAGAGTTTCCCATCAGTGACATTTAACGCCACACATAAAATATTTAAAGTATCCAAGACATCCATTCATTTACACAGTCATTCAGTCAGCAAGTATTTACTGGGCACTTACTCTATCCCCAACACTGTTCCAAGTGCTTGGGAGCCATTAATGAACAAGATGGACAAAAATCCTGCTTCTATGGAGTTTATTTTGGGGTGAGAGGAAAGACTGATAATCATCAAGAAATAGAATAAACAGGGCAATTATAGGGTCTGCTAGAAGGTGTTAAGTGCTATGGAACAAAGAAATAGATCAAAGCAGGATAAGCTGGATGGAGAACGCTCTGGGAGGGAGAAGGCAGGTTGCCATTTTTAAAAGAAATGCCAGAGAAGCCTGTTTGAGAAGCGACGTTTGGGCAAAGAGCCACAGGTGGCAATGGAGCCGGCCATGTGGCGGAGGGAACAGCATTCAGGGCAGAAGGGCCAGTCAGTGCAAAGGCCCTGAGTCAGGAGTGGGCCAGGTGTGTCTGAGGAGCAGAGGGAGGCCAGGGTGGGTGACGAGAGCAAGGGGATGAGGTGAGAACTGTAACAACAGGGACAGGCGGTGCATCATTAGGACTTTTCTTCTTTCTTTTTTTACTTTGAGTGAACTGGAGAATTATCGGGGCATTTGAGCAGAGGAGTGACACAGCTCAGTGTCTTAAGGGGTTCACTGGAGTGGGGGTGGGCAGGGCAAGCAGAGACCAGCATGTCCACCTTTTTTTTTTTTTAATAAATTTATTTTTGGCTGCTGTTGGGTCTTCATTGCTGTGCGCGGGCCCTCTCTAGTTGCCGGGAGCAGGGACTACTCTTCATTGCTGCGCGCGAGCCTCTCATTGTGGGGGCCCCTCCCGCCGCGGAGCACGGGCTGTAGGCACGCCGGCTCAGCAGCTGTGGCTCGTGGGCTCCAGAGCTCAGGCTCAGTAGTTGTGGCTCGCGGGTTCTAGAGCGCAGGCTCAGTAGTTGTGGCGCACGGGCCCAGCCGCTCCGCGGCACGTGGGATCCTTCCAGACCAGGGCCCGAACCCGTGTCCCCTGCACCGGCAGGCGGACTCCCAACCACTGCGCCACCAGGGAAGCCCCATTATGTCCGTCTTATCTGTTTGTATAGCTGGATAGATAGACAGACAGACAGACAGGCAGGCAGGCAGGTTTATATAGCTGTTTTCCTCCTAAGATTTAGGGAAATGGTTCTACTG